GGACTTCCCTGGCAGAGGCTATATATTCGCTTGCCATGTGAGAGCATTTCGAGAGGGAGAGTAGACTCTCCCCACTCTCGGCCGTACCAGGGCATTTGGGGGCAGATCCAAAGGTCTGATCCACAAGGCAGTGGAGCATCGTGAGGAGATGCAGTCCCATGGTAGCCGGTGACCAAAAATTGGTTCATACGCTATTTGTTCCTTTAGGATACTGGAGCCCATGTGCACCATTGGTTTGGAGTCAGGGTTTTCCAACTCCCTTAGGTAGACTTTCTGTGTCTACCAACCCGGTTAAAGCGCCGGACGTGGTCATGTGAGAGCATTTCGAAAGGGAGAGCGGACTCTCCCCACTCTCAGCCGTACCAGGGCATGTGGAGATCAAACAATATAATGTATATTAAGACCTATAATGGTAAAACGATCCCGAAATCTGAGTGTTGTTGGGTTAGCGCGATCAAAAACTTAGAGAATGAACGAAAATTCCATTCCCAAAGAAAAAAATACCGAACAGTAATAAACCTAATCCAAAACCATTTTAATATGCATAACTACTTATCTTTGGAGTAGATTACATACGATATGAAGACCATATGAAAATATTTTAAAATGACTACGGTTTTTTTAAATGTTACGTAGTAGGAAATTAATTCGTAGAATTAAGTAGATCATCGTGGACGCATCAAACACTACATCTAATTGTGTTGGAACAGTTTACTTATTTTTTGTGTCCTCTTGTAGAATCTTACTAGAAATTAAATCATTTTCTACATATTTGTTTACAATTGCATCGATCAGCTAATTAAAATAATAACTCATAACTTTATCTAATACAGTTTTCATTGAGACTAAAAATATACAGGGCAGTAGATCTGTTGACTAGAGCACGTGAGGATAGTTAACACGGGAATTCGTAATTAGTTTTTGCTATTATTCGCACTTTTCCATTAATTTTCATAACTTTTACAATAATATGGTGAACCCGAACGTTTATTTTGTTTGTCATGCTGATTATTACATCAGACAGGTAGGTTTATTCGTATAATGTATTTTCCTAACGATCTTTATGAAATCGAGCGTTCTCCTACAAAAGCTTCCTCTGAATTACCTAGTATATCTGAATCCATAATAATCATGATTGTACCGATTCAAATTTCAGCATACGGAGTGAACAACCCAATGATCTGGTTTGCTCGGATAGAAGCTTTGTTTTCCGCTCACGGAATCCGGTCACAAGCAACCAAATACACGCACGTAGTAGGTGCCTTTCCGATTGAGATCGCTGCAGAAGTCGGGGACTCGATCGATCAAGTGCCGGAACATGGACTGTATGATAAACTCAAAGCAGCAGTCGTCTAACAAACATCAACGTCTGATCAAAATAGACCACAGCAACTATTGACAGTACGTGTTTTGCGATAAGAAACCGTCATGGTTTTCAGTAGACTTTGTAGCTAACTTGATAGTGGCTTGCAAAACCTCGTATATGCAACCGGTGAGTCCGGTGCCACTTGTTGCAGTTGTCAAATCACACTCCGTCCTTGATCGGAAACATATAGGTCTACCGCGACGAAGTTTTGTTTAGGTCACTAAAATTAAGTGGGCTCGCAGAAAACTTTATAAGCGAATGATGAAAGACGACAGAAACGAAAGAGCTGATTTCCAAAAAGTGCTTGGGAAGCCCCAGAAGTGATAGACACTGCACACAAGTCTTCAGTAATAAGGATAGTAGGTTGATGAACCTGTGTTAATCCTGACAGATTTCCTTCCAGTGAAGGTCCAGCTTCTTTTTGAAAATGTTCACTGATGGTGCTGATACCACTTGTTCTGGTAAAGCGTTCCAGTCATTGACCACTCGATGAGAAAAACGGGACCCCACCTTTAGTTTATTAGATCGCGGTTTCAGAACCTTCTTGCTATGACCCCGGAGATTATTAGTGCTGGAGGGAGCAAAAAGGTAAGACATATTAACACCCAGATCATAATTAAAGATACGAAATGCCAGTATAAGGTCACCTCGCGTCCTACGATACGATAAGGGGAAAAGATTTAGACGTTTTAAACGCTCATCGTAAGGGAGTTTGGAAAGACCCTCTACTAATTTTGTCCCTACACGCTGGACACGCTCAAGCGATTTAGTATCCTTTATCAGACAAGGGCTAGCTGCTTGGATACAGTATTCTAAGTGTGGCCTTACATAGATGGGATATAAAATTCGAAACATATCCTCGTCAAAGCATTTAAATGCTCTGCGAAGCGACCATAGCGCTCGATAGCCTTTGGAAGCAACCGCATTGCAGTGCGTAGTAGTTTTTAAGTCGTGACTTATAATTACTCCTAAGTCTTTATGCGCATGAACGCGTGGCAGAGATGTACCATTAATGGCATAGTGGTAACTAATATCGTGCCCGATGTGCATGAACACGCTCTTCCTGGAATTAACTTCCAGGCCCCAATCATGAGCCCACCTAACTAATTCGTCTAAATCTGCTTGTAGATAACAACGATCAGTCTCATTTCTTATTGTTCTCCAGATTTTAACATCATCCGCAAACAATAACGTCGACGACTTAAGTAATAAAGGTAGTTCATTGATATACAGAAGGAAAAGTAAAGGGCCCAAGATGGTGCCTTGGGGTACACCACTTCTGACCGGTTTCCATTCGGATAGAGTTCCATTGACTCTCACTCTCTGTCTGCGGTCACATAAGAAGCTTCCTATCCACTCCTGTATAGCACCTGTTATACCAAAGCTCGAGAGCTTTTGCATAAGACCTAAGTGTGAAACCTTATCAAACGCTTTGCTAAAATCTATAAATATCACGTCGACAGACTGGCCGTTGTCTAGGGCAGCTGTCCAATCCTCTCTCGCAATGAGTTAGTCAAGCATGAATGCTTGTTACGAAACCCATGTTGCTCGGGAGTTAATACATTGTACGAATCTATGTGGCTCAGTAGCTTAGCCCGAATTAATTTTTCAAGTAACTTAACTACTATACTGGTCAGGCTAACAGGCCGGTAGTTAGATACTATCCGTCTCTGACCATCCTTAAATATAGGACTAACTATGGCGTCTTTCCAGTTTCTAGGTAGTTGAGCCTGTGAAAGGGACATGTTGAAGAGCATCGTGAGCGGTCTTGAGATAATGTCCGCAAGCGACGACAGCAAACGTGGGTGTAACCCATCGGGGCCCGGTATCTTACAAGGTTTTAGGTTAGTTATCAAAGGAAGAACTATATCCTCTGTCACGTGCAAAGGTCCTATGGCTGGTATCTCATTGTCAACGGGACAAGTAGTTGTAACACTACACTTCACTGAAATAGTTAGCAAATAACTCCGCTTTCGCTAGATCAGATTCAGCCAATAAAGCTGAATTTTCGCTTAACAGTAATGAGGGGATACCATCACTACGTTTCGTCCGCCTTTTAACGTACGAAAACAGTCGCTTCGGACAGGTACGGCTATCGTATGCCAACTGTCGTTCGTAAGCCGTACGGGATCTAGCTATGGTCTTTTTACATATATTCCGGATTTTATATTCGCACTTAAATGATGCCTGACCTGTTGACAAGAATAAGTTCCAGAAGTGTTTCCTACGCTTCAACAGCTTCCGGGTTTCCTTATTAATCCATGGAGGGCAATATGATAACTTACGTGCTGACCATGGGATAAACGGTTGAGTTACGGATTCGAACGTAGACTTAAACCTATTCCATGCATCATCAATCGATCCATCAGCATCGACCGACCAGTCAATTGAGATAGCATAGTCCCTGATTGCCGGAATATTAGCTCTCCAGATATTAGGACGGGGTGGAGCTGATGCAAATTCTATACCATGTATCCGGAACTTAAAGGAAAGTACGACATGGTCACTGTTCAACAGTGGGGGAAGATGTTGAATGTCAACGATATCTTCACAGTGGTGTGTGAGGACAAGGTCTATCAATGACGGATTATGTTCCAAGTCTATATGCGTCGGCTTAACGATACATTGTACAAGTGCACATTGAATAATTGATGACAGAAGGACGCTATCGAAACCCCCACCTGGAGCTGTGAGCTCTATCCAGTTTATATGGGGTGCATTGAGGTCTCCAACGATGAGACAACATTCTGCTTTACTCCAAGAACAGACGTGTTTTAGGATAAAGTCGTCAGCGAGACAACACGGACTACGATATATTCCTCCTATCGTCACTAACCCGTTTCTAGACCTAATTGTACAACATACTACCTCACACGTACCACTTACATGCGCCTCCGATATGATCGAGTTAATGCGGAAGTGGTCCCTAATATATAATATTATGCCTCCTCCCTTGCGACTTCTAACTCTGTCACTTCTGACACAGATGTAGCCTGAAATGACTGGAGAACAGTCTATTTCTACAGTGAACCAAGTTTCGGTGATAACAATTATATCCGGATTTAAGTCGTCTACCATCAAACTTAGTTCAGACATCTTATTCCGAAGACTACGAGCATTCGTATAACACACATTTAGGGTGTTTTTGGAGACATGCGTTCTACCCACACAGGTCTCGGAAGCATTGGCTTCCAAGACCTGAGGCTTCTGTTACTGTAACTAAAAACCCAGCTTAAATAAGTATGAGGGCCCTCACACTTTGAGACAACTAAAACTACAAGACCTACTCGGCGAGGAAACATATCATTGCCCGTCTCACATGCTCTGTCACAACCTTCCAGTGTCATATGAGCTGGAATCTGAGTCTCCAACGCACTGTATATGCCTCAATGGTATTTTGGCAACGAATACTTGAAACTTAAATTAATGTACTCAGGAGAAAACTAAGGAACGATATAGAGGTAGAAGATTAATCTTAATTATATTATACGACTACTTCTATTCTGAGCATTTCGCTGTAGTACCAACCTACTATCACTGGTATCAAAATGTTTCTGAATAATCCACATCAACATTTATATAATATTAAAACATGTAGCAAATAGGTATATGAGTAATTATGAACTGCGCTTACTACACTGTTAGACCAAATTTCAGATCGCGCGGTTACCTTTCAAAAATAAGGGTATTTTGTAGCATACTTTAACTGTGCTACAACTTGTCATCAAAACATTAGATTTAATAATGAAACACCATTCAATATTTCACTGTCTGCATGATTCATTAATAATTAAAAATTAAATTGAATTGAAAAAGTCGCAGTTTTCAGTCAAATAAGAGGTACTATATCTGTACAAATTATCGACCAACCACGCGCACTCATATCGAACGGCCATAATGGATTTGTCCTTCGCAGTATTGACCGCAGAACGTCGATAAGTTCGATCGAATTTTTTCGCACGCTTTCTGGAAGGTCGTTAAAATTTGCTTCTTAGACGGCTATTTACATATATCCTGGATGCTAAATGACTGAAAGATCATTCCAGTCACTGATTAGTGGTATTTCCCTGCACGACGAAGCTGCACTCAATAACATTTCTCTAAAAGCCGCTCTTGACAGTCAAAATTTTGATCTAAATGGTCAGAGTCATGATGATGGATTATCTGTTCCTGGAAAAGGAGTAAATATTGTTTCTAAGCCCAGGATGCTTTCTTCTGGAATACCTGCTAGTTCCGGTTGTGGGACACTTAATATGGCTCCTGTTCCTATAGGTGCTCTTGCTCCGGGTAAAATTGGTCTACCACTCAGTGATTTGGAGAATATTCCTATTTTTAACACTGGAGACTCCGGTCCTCTAGAACTACAAGCTTTGCAAGGTAGTGCACAAGCACTTCAAGGCGTTCAAACCGTTAAGCTGACGTTTATAAACTGTGGAGATCAGCAAACTATTCTTCTCACTACTCCTTCTACGCATTTCACTATGCCTGATCAAAGCTTGGATGGCATGACTCTCACCCTGCCTGATAACTTATTAGCTACCGATCTTAATTTTGCTGGGCTAACTTCAATGCAGCTTGGTGAAATGACTAGTGGCAACGATAAGCCCAATTCGTCGGAAGGCTCGAAGTCCACAAATTACACAAACATGACTTCCCTTCCACCCATAACCTCCGTGTCGGACAAGCTTTATAGTCAAATCGCTAACGATAACGAATCAATTCAGCAAAGCCATAGTTACGCTATTGAGGATTTAAAACCGGTAATGCAAAAAAACAATGAGAAATTACATGATGGGAATTCCGGTAAGATTGCTATATCTGTATATTGCTTTAGCTTATGCTCATACTAACCAGTCTGGCAATTTGAATGCATCGCCAGTTGTTGTCACATCCCAAAATACGTTTAATCAATCAGTGAATGTTAAACCCGTAAAGTTAATTGACCCAGGTAATATAAGTCCTGTCCTCATGTCCTCCTTAGGGAATGTATCACCTGTTCCTCAAGTTGATGGCAGTGATCAGGAAGGTAATGACCAAAGCCTGCCAGATGACATGAGTGAACTCAACACTAAGGTAATTTAACAGTTTGGTTGTAAACTGCTGTCTTTTAGGATTTAGCCCAAAGAATAAGCGCAGAGCTAAAGAGGTACAGCATTCCACAAGCGGTGTTTGCACAACGAGTTCTGTGTCGAAGCCAAGGAACGCTTTCTGATCTACTTAGAAACCCTAAACCCTGGAGCAAGCTAAAGTCAGGACGTGAAACCTTTAGACGCATGTGGAATTGGTTAAACGAACCTGAGTACCAGCGGATGTCTGCCTTACGCCTTGCAAGTAAGTTGTTTTCCTTAACTCACAATCTTTGTAGCGTGTAAACGAAAAACAGAAGAAACTCAGAAAGCTCAAGATGAACGCTCTTCAAAAAAACCTCGACTTGTTTTTACCGATATTCAAAGACGCACATTACATGCTATCTTCAAAGAAACTAAGCGTCCTAGCAAAGAAATGCAAGCCACCATCGCTCAGCAATTAAATCTGGAAGTGTCTACTGTTGCTAATTTCTTCATGAACGCTCGTCGCAGATCTCTTGATAAGTGGGTAGATGACAAAGATGTACAACTAACTGCTTCAACGTCTTCCCCAGTTCATAGTCTGGAAGGGTCGCCACCCAACCACAGTGCACGCATGTCCACTCACATGGGTGATCATTGTGTCGTACGGTCAGCACATGATGCAATTACCACCCCACACCTTGCTGAGTCAATGAGTGACTCAGTCCTTAATCGAATCCCAGGTTGTCATTCAGCCATCCCAACTTCTGTCGAGCTTTCATCATCCCCTGCACCGCCAAGTTTAACTCCAGATCCATCATTATCTATGAACCATTCTGAAGTCCATCTCAATGCACCCTGTCTTGTTAGTGAAGATGCTCGTAATACCTTGCTTTTATCATCTGGTGACTCAAATTTGTTGCCATCACAGTTACTGAGTCATCTAGTTGTTGGCGGACAAAATGCTATGTTAGTCACTCAAAATGTTAGCCCGAATGGTGATAAAAACATAATGCACTCAACTCCACTTTCCTCTTCATGTGTTACATCATCTGGTCTTTCTACCATAAAATCAGCATTGGATTCTCTGTGTGACCCCCCATCTCTGTCACCTCATTCTCATCTTCCTCCCGCTCCCGTTGAGTCTTTGCACAATATTCATCCTATCCCACGTTCGATGGCGCACCGATCAACATCTGATACGATTTGTGCTGCAAACCACGTCTTGCCTTCTGCATCTACGCTTATAGGTCATGATAGACTTATTGTTGATTCTATTGGTCAGTCCTCATCTACAACAGTCCTCACTTCCTCACATAATTTGGCCGACACTTTAGTTCTACATTCAAAGCAAGAGGATTTAAGTTCCGGCTTAATAATCAATGCTACGTTAAACTGACTTATTTGTTTCTTATTCATATATCATGTTTTCATAATATGCCCAAGTGCTGTGTATGTTTATTACTACAACAAGTTCACTTATGTAAGCCTATTAGTTCTGCGATTGTGTGATTATGAACTATCACTTCCTTTAATTTCTAATTAACATTATTTGTTAAGTTCGCTGAAATGTTTAATATTTTTCAAAATGGGAATTGTCCCCGTTCCCAGAAGGTGCAATATTTTCTTTTCACGGTCATAGTATTGATCATGACTTCTTTTCATTTTTTCTTGATAAGTGTACAGTTTTGTTTGGTAGTTTTCATTGGTTTCTTTGTTTTTTTTTCGCACATAATCGGGCTGATTTTTCTTAATTAATGTGCTTTTTCAAAAACCTGGTTTTTTGGTTCATCAACTGCCGCTCCACGAATTGTGCTGCATTTATTGCGGATGTGGCAAATTCTGTCTATCTAATGACCAAGTTTCACATCTAGTATAAGTAGTATGATAAGTCAATTTTCAATCAATATATGCCTTACTCGATAGGTGCTTTAGGTTCATTTATCCATTTGTGCTGTCTTTGCCAAATTAGTAATGTTATTAAGAACAACCCCTCTTTTCTGTAATTTGAGAAACACTCATTTGTTTCCTCAAAATTACCATTTACCAGTCGGTATGTTCACTTTATGACTTTTCAGTTCTTCAGTCCAGTATTCATTACTTCGTAATCTTTATTATGTGGTAATCCCTACATTCATGTACATTGATTGTTTCTTGGTTCTGATATGTTTATTGTTATTAACAAATGAGATATAGGGTTTGTTTACCACGAAATATAGTAACAGTCTGTCATATCTATCTTCTTTCATGCACATTCAGCCGAAGTGCAAGGGTGGCGGTCATTTTTTGCATGGTGCTCATGATACCTTTCTCCCTTGACGCTGTCTTTGCTTGTGCGTGGGGTTATGTTGCTCGGCGCTTCCCGTCCTTATTATTGCTCGTTTACTAGGCCCAAAGTCCTTATGAAGTCTGTTTTTAATTCAGTCAGCTACAACGTAGGACCAGGCACATTTATGTATCAGTCCAAGTTGCCATACCTCGTTAGCACAACAAGATGAACACCGGATTCATAGTAGTTAATTTAGTAGTGGTAGTATATAAGAGAAGGGTTGTATATAAGGATATAGTATGGGAACGAATAAAGTTACGAAGCAATTTTAAACTTAAGATTTTAGGGAAGACAAAGAATGTATACACCTTCGCCATTGTGATTCATTCTGAGCCATGTCACACACAGTTTCCAACCATTGGTTACGATGATCACACAGACCCCAACCAGGTGGTCTGCATCTACCAACATGGCTCAGACTAGAAGTTAGTGACTTCAAGCACTGATGCCATGTTTTGGTTTGGCCGCCTCTAACTCTTCCAACCATCCCCTACACTAGTCAGCATTGCGCGTCGTGGTAATCGGTGTTCAGGCATACGTAACACGTGGCCTAACCATTTCAGTCGATGAAGATTCATGACCTCATCAACTGATTTACCATCATTCCCTAATACCTTGTGTCTAACCTCACTGTTTTTAATTCACGGATATAATTACTCGGTTTGTATTAGATTTCGAAACAGTTCGAGTTTGTATGCGTGGTTTTACCTATCAGTGGTTGTACACCTCTAAGGAGTTCCACCAAAACCACTTGGATAAATGTATTTTGTCAAATCTACGTCCTCATAGCTCGTTTGAAACTATCCTTAGAAAGTTGTTAAGCACAGTCAATTCGCAACTGCTCATGTTGTTCGTTCTCCGACACAATTGCATTTATTTGTGTTTCGCGTTCGTAGTTTTATATTCAATTTGAAGCGTATGTTAGCGAGCTAAATAAATCTCAACGTGAGGAAGACGACGGCGTGGACAGTTACTTGGTCTGAGGATGATATGGCTAGCTCTTAGTCTAGGAATGGCTAAACACGAGGTAGGTCCTTGATGAAGCTTTGTTGATGGTTCAGTGTTGCTGTTAAGCAAAGTCGTTGGTATCTTTTGCTACATCTGCATGTCGCTATCTTGAATAGGCTTCAGGCATTCGTTTTTTAAGATCGTGGGCGAATTTTCTACGATATAAGACTACATTAGGCTCGCACAGGGTGATAATTTCTACTTTGTTCGATATTTGATGGACTCTTCGTGTACTGAAGCAGTATAGACTGAAGTGTTGTCGTTTTGGTTCATCCTTGTGTACTGAACTGCTTGGTACTCTGTGGTGCTGCATGATACGTCAGACCGGGGTAAATCATGC